GCACGGGGAGCAGCTCGGGACAGTGCCGGGGAAGAAGCAGCCTTGGACCACTCCCCTCCCGCACCCCTGGGCAATCTCACAGAATCATCTAGGTTGGAAAAGACCCGTAAGACTGTAAAGTCCGACCCTTGTGGTCCCAGCAGGAAGGCTCGAAGGGTCCAATGCCGTATAAAAGACTTTAGCTCCACCTTTGCCGCGGTTTCTGAGCACAGGCTAAAGGACAGCTCGCTGACGAGGCAGTTCTCGGAAACATGGGGGCAGACAGGGCCAGGACAGGCATCATATTGAGCCTATCCCACGGTCCGGGTTTGTTCCCTGCAACTGACACCTTTGGGCTTTCCTTTGCTCCGTCCCCCCCGCCCCAAACAATTTTGTTGTGGGAAAGCCGGTGACTGAAGAGGCACAAGGTGGTTGTGTCCTTTATTCAGCAGATAAAATGGGGATTATTGGCTTGATTCTGTGGTATGGCTACAGCTGACTCCTTGGCCACAGAGGCAGCGGCACTGTGTGTACTGTTGGTGAACTGGAATTTCCCCAGCCGCCCCTTCTCCGTAAGCACCCAGGGCCTCTACCTACTGGTGTGGAACTTGGGAGTCTGCTCACAGGTGCCCACGCCCACCTCTGTTCTGGCTTGGATTTCCCCTCTATGCACGATGCGTTGGTCTACACTGGCTTTGAGCCCTCGTAGCTGGGGGTGGCGATGGGCAAAAGAGCAGAACATCTTCCCCAAACCTGTTCATACCCCGCAGTACCGACCCCTGGCAGCAGCAGTCCTTCCCTGCTGGATTAGGTGCAGCTAATGTGGAGGGACTGGGAAAGGAGTCGCTTGTTGCCCACGTGGTGTGTGAGGCCAGGGTGCTCCTCTGTGGCCACCTCGCATGCTGGGCCAGCTTCTCCTTGCCGCTGCCAACGGGCGCTCACTAAACTCTTCCTGCTCCTCTGTTGGCTCCAGACTATCCGTACTGCCTCGTGAGCAAGGAGCTGCGGAACATCATCAGATCCCTGCTGGGGAAGTCGTCCAGCGTGCTAGAGCTCTTCTTCGACCACTGCATTTACACCATGCTACAGGAGCTGGACAGAACCCCAGGTGAGACGCGGTGGGTGCAGGTCTGGGGCACCGGCTGCGCTCCGTTAGCACAGAGGTTCTTCTGCAAGGCGGGCTGGTGCCAAGGCTTCCTGGGCACGGGGATGCTGCTGCTCCTCGTCGCCTGTTCCAAGAGCTCTTCTGAGCTCCTCCCTGGAGAAGGTAAGGTGGGAAGCTCCTCCTGTGCATCTTGCACACGGTGAGGGGCCGTTCCTGCCCAGGGGGCTCGTTGCTGTCATGCAAAATGCTGCTGCGGGGTTTCAGGCTGGAGGAGCCAGAGCAGGCATAGCAGGGACGAGATACGAACCCGGCACGGTGCTGCCAGGGGGAGAGTTGCAGAAGGGAGGGTATGTGGTGGAAAATGGCCTGCTGCTTTCAGCTGAGCGTCCCAAATGCCCATTTCCACACGTCCCCTGCCATGCTGTCAGCTGCCGGTCGCTTCAGCAGCAGCACCCAGGTACCGGCTGTCCCCGGCTGCCTCCCAGGCTCTGCCGTCTCCGGTACTGAACGGCCGGAGGCCCGGCACGTGGGTTGTTTCCATCACAAAACCCGCCCGGCCGACCAGAACATCGGGACGTAGCAGCACGAGATAGTTGTCAGTGAACGGAGGAGGTGCGGCCGTGCTTCGGGGGGGGGTGTTCCTGCGTAACTCAGGAAGGTGCTTGGCTGTCGTGGAGCTGCCGCGGGGTCGGTCTGCGACGGGGAGGACCAAGGGGCTCTGCTGGGCGTTGCGGCTGTGCTGGCCTCCTCTGCCACTGCAGCCTCGCATGGCCACTGCCCTTGCATCGGCCCGGCTGCCGTGGGCTGGGGGGGCTGGGGCG